AAGGATCTTACTCTTTAACAAAAAGGTTTATCTCTAGGGATCTTTCAGTAATGTTGTCATACACTTGCCCTCTCTCTCAATACTGGATATTGTTGTTCCCATTTGTCACTTAGACACAAAAACATGGGGAAACAGGAGCCAGGTTGAAAAATGGCTCGAAGTTACAATGGAAGTACAGTTGTTGCTATGGAGACAATACACTGTCTCCTCTAGTCGCATTAGTGTAAACTGGCAGGTTTTCAGATAATTGCAGACCGCTGCATTGCAGGTAGTTGCAAGTTTCAACTCTTCTCTTTCTCTTTTTTCCTCTCCAATAATCTCACGCAGATCATCGATGAGTGTAACACGCAGGTGGGAAAGATGAGACAGATGGAAGAGCTGATTCAGGTCTCTCACACACTGGAATTTGACAAGCTCAGGGTAAAGTTACACACATTATTTGCATTATTTGTTAGAATTTTAGTTGGACTTGAGCTACTTGCACATTTATTTTGTAAAGGAGCTAAACGGTCCTTCCTTTGCTTGTGTCTTCCTCTCCAGGCTATCCCGATCATCTCCCAGACACGATACTTGGAGAAGAAGGGAGAGCTGCAGGAAATGTCCAAAGGAGGAACTCTCTTCAACATGAGGGCAAAGTTCATCCCGGTCTACCTCTTCCTCTTCAATGATCTGCTCATCATCGCTGCCAAGAAAGGGTGAGGCAGAACTGACTGATGTTCAACACCAGTTAGAGACACACGCTAGTGGCGTGGCTCTAGGGAGGGCAATGTGTTTGTCTGGGGTAGGCTGCTAGGTCCACCACTTGGTGACTTTGTGATCCTCCGACGTTTCCCCTAGAGGCATCAGGCTACATTTTCAAGTCGTCCAACCTTTGGCTTAAGACCAAATACCTGCAAACCAAATGACATTTCCATCAGACTCAGCTGTACTTTCTGTTTAGAGCTAGTATAACTAGTTTAACATAGCATGGCTGTAGACTCTTATGCCTACCATACACTAGACGACTTTGAAAAGAAACCCTCTCACATCTTAAGACAATGTGAGCTTTTAGTCACACACTCACACATAACTCTAGAAACACAAGATTAAAGGCATCATATGCTGACAGTATTTTTTGTGAATTCGACATCAAGTAATGAAGATAAACTGTGTTTGCCTACAAACTTTACATGTTGGATTTTGTCGCCTAAACTTGCTACTAGCTTCCGTTGGTTTGCTGTGTTATAATAGTAGAAGGAGACCGTGGGAATCAGGGGTAAACCAATTCAAAATTAAGATTTCTCACTAAAATAAGTGCTGGCTGGTGGATTTGATAGACGCCGAATAATACACCGACTCTTGTTCTATCCATAACTCCACCAGTTTCTCCTACTTTTTCACAGTACAAGAGACACATTGTTGTGCCTCACCTCTGCCTCTACATGTTTACTGTCCACTGGGTTTGCTGCTTCTTGTTTAGTGCTGAAGAGAGCACAGTTGTGTGTTGACAATGTTCACATCATTGAAATTCTTTTTTTGCTTGAGCCATGGTTAAAACTTAATAGTAACAATAGTATTAAATATGTTTGATTTTGTTGTAATGTGAGGATGAGAGAAAGACTGATTTAAGACAGCTCGGATTGAGTTTTATGACCACGTTACAACAAACCATCCAAATCACAGAGGTGCACCAATCGAGATAAAGCTCTCATGATTTTAATCTAACAATAGAATCTTGTCTGTACTTGTGAAGCTGCTCCAAATGTTTGCTGTCAGGCTGAATTCTTCATAAGGTGTCTTCATCTGGGGAAATTTATTTCAGCCACGTTCCTCTTAAACTTCTGCAGAAGTCAAGTTGTGCCGAACACTTCCTCACGTTACAATGACCTACATAAAACAATGTGTGTCAAACATCAGCCCCAGCACGCTGTGCCCTGCAATATTAAGCATCTTTGCCTATAATTCATGAGGCAGAGCTGAATCAGCACCCAATGGTCAACTACTGCCAGTAAAAAGCTAGTAAGCCTTGCTCAAGCTGCTTCTGGAAAATAATAGATATAAAGTAATGCCACTTATCTCACTGTTCAGTACGGTGCTTCACATTTGGGCTGTATAAGAATGCAGCCAGTCCTCTTGGAAGCTATGCAGAGGAAAGTTCTCCACCTGCTTTCATAATGCCACCTTAACCATGGACAATGTGACCACTGACCGCAAAAGCAATCATGACTCTTAAACAGAGTGTTATCACTAGCAAAATGACTCCAAACTTCCTCAAATGTATTGGGAAGTAGTGCTTAAAGAGAAGTGAGAGGAAGAGAAGAGTAGATTTCAAACACTGCTGTTGATGCAACGTAGATAGCAGATAGGAAAAGAAACAATGACACAGAACATATAAAATAAACCTCAATACATAAACCTTCAGTATTTATCACTGTTTATCACTATCACAAATATGTTCCTGCTTTATCCACAAAAACAAAAACAAAAAAACCAACTCACCCTTCTTTGTCTTGAAACAGTGCGGAGCGTTTTGTGATACTGGATCACGCCCATCGCTCTCTGGTGCAGGTGCAGTCTATAGATGAAAGTGGGGGCAGCTGCGGCCCATACGAGAACTGCTTCAACCTCACGCTGCTGGAAAACCACCAGGGACGCATGATGGAGAGGCTGCTCAAAGCTCCCACCCAGTGAGTAGCTCTAAGAACCTAAGAATAGTAAATCTATTCTTACGCTCTACATACACTATAAAATACAAATTCCTACAGCAGTCACATGAAAAATGTCCACAAAGGAGCTTTAAATACAGTATGAGACATTGTTGATACACGATTTTCCATTTGCATTTCACCAAAATACAACCTTCATGTTGCAACAAAAGTGATGCAAATCTGTTTGATTGTTATTTCATAAGCTGGTTCTGTCAACAGGTCAGACATGCACAGGTGGATGGCAGCTTTCCCCAACCCCACCAACCCAGACACAGACGACAATGAAGTGATTTACGAGGACTGGGGTGAGGACACGCACACACAATGCACACAAAGTGAAACTACAGTTTGTGGTTGGTTGTGTGTCGTATCCGAAGTTTCTTACAGTTATGTGTGTGTGTGTGTGTGTGTGTGTGTGTCAGATTGTCCTCAGGTGCAGTGCGTGGAGCAGTACATTGCCCAGCAGTCAGACGAGCTCACATTGGAGCCCACTGAGATCATCAACGTCATCCGCAAAGCCAATGAGGGTAAGAACATGAAGGGAAACCTGGACCAAAGAGCTGTCTTTTAATTTGTTTTTCAGACTGTCATGGAAACAAGCTGGCCGTTACATGTAAAAAAAGATCATAAAAGGATTATAAACATTTCCTCTTTTACAGAACAAAACTGCAGCTGAAACTGAAGTGATATGAATCTGTTCTTGCGTCAAATTAATTTTTCCACTTCTCTACATTTGGCATTATCAGTGTCTGTGGATCTAAACAGATTACGAAGGTTTAAAATGTGGAACAGACAGTGGAAGTCGAACGTACTGACATGACTTTGTATCATTATGCCCCTTCCTTTGACTCTGCTTGTTTATACAACCCGATCCTCGTAACTGCCTCAATCCTCCAACCCTCTCACCTTAGCAGTTTATTGATTTGTTTTCACTTTCTCTGCATGAACGATACAGAAACCTCCAATCTTCCCTTGTTTGTTCTCCTCCCACCCCCCCCCTCCTCTCCTCCTACTTCCTCCTAGGCTTTTATGAAGGCATCCGCCTGTCCGACGGTCAGAAGGGCTGGTTCCCTGTAGGAAACGTCATAGAGATCACCAACGAGCACGTGAGGCGGCGAAACCTCCGAGAGCGCTACAGAGTCATGCAGGCTGCGAGCTTGGTCGCCAACAGCAAGGCCAACACCACTCATTGATCGATGGATGGAGGATGTTTACATTGAGTTGTTGTCATGGATACAAACTCTTCAGGAGTTAACTCTGTACAAAGACTATTCAGGGACTTTATAGTTAAAGTGTCGGTTTCTAATAACCGGGAAATGAAAGACAAAAGGAGAAGGGTGACGATCATGAGACGTCATAACAGACCTGCAGTCATCAAGTACGTGAGTGTGCACTTAAGCAGCTGGGAGCTCGAGGTAGATCATTTACTACTACTGGCACTGACAGAAACTATGTGAACATGCATGCATTATATAACAGATATCAGCATCTTGAGCGTACCTCCTCTTGTGAGCATGTAGCCCTGCGTTAACCTCTGCTCTGCACAAACTGAAACTGCACATTTGAAATGCCAATCATTCTGGCCACTGCCAGACCTGATTGTGCACATGTCAGACCTGCTGCGAAGAAAAGAGTTGGGTGTTCCTGTGAACGCCTCTTGTGTCCTACTTGTCACATGCACAAACAAGTTAGATCCTCTCATTCCTGACATGCACAACAACCTGGTGTCACCATGGTGGCCAAGAATACAAGATATGACATGTTTTTATGATAAAAGAATGCTGTAAATGAATCATCTTCACTGAAACTCAACAGGAATTTATCTCACCACGCAACAAACCGTTACTGTTAAAAGAAATCTAATCAGGAAGTGCCTTTGAATAAACTCAGAACGCAGGACTACACACCGGGACTTCTATCAGGATCAAGCACAACAGCTTTGAAAATGCATGTCAATGTGGGCTGAGCTGTACTGCCATTATGACGTTAGCTTGTTAGCTTGTGTCAGTAGCCGTTGTGGAATAATACTGTAGCTCTCCCTGCAGCTTGTTGTCGTCTGTGGATAGACTGTAAATGTACGATATGTTGTAAATAATAAGTGGGGGGTTCTCTCCTTCAAAAACAGTAGAAGTGCTTTTAATAAAAATGTGTGTCTTTTTAGCTTGAGGCTCAACTGTTTATTTTTATCTAACACTGATACAGTAAATAACCAATACTCAAATGTAGACTGGGAAACAATATTTAAGGGTATACTGGGTCAAAGACATTAAAGATTAAACCACTGCAAAAAACCCTCAAGTGGTCGTTTCCATTATGAGAATGAGGTAGTGAAAAAGTCCCTTAAAAACTCACCCTGGGACGAGAAGACCCTCAAGTTTAAGACAATGCTCCTGTCTCTCCGAGGCTCAAGAGTACATGCACAGCATCGTCCTCAGACTCTAAGAGCGTCCAATCCTTTACTTTGAAATAACCTCCAGCGGCACTCAAACTGCTCTTTACCTTAGAGTCTGAGGACGGTGACGACTCGCCAACTGGCAGATGGACATCAGCATCCCTTCCCTCCACAAACCCCAAATCCCCCCAGCCTTTTTCTCCATCTTCCCTGGCACAACTGAAGCTGACGTAGCCAACGCTGTTTTGGGTACAATCATTAGTTATTAATGGAGGTAAAGTCTCAGATCCTTGTTGGGTTCCAGTGCTCACTGATGCATCCTCATGACGCTGGTATGACACAGGATCAGGAAGTGTTACCGCCAATGTATTGCAGTTCAGCGCCCAGATTTTGTCCTTCTCCATCACGCTGAAGCAACTCAAGAGGGTGTTGGCTGCCTCAAGCTCTGTGTCCGACCAACATCTTCCCTGCTGTAACTCACTTTGCAAACTGGCCTCCTTCAGATACTGCACATGACTACAGTTATAGTCTCCTTCAGCTGACGTTGAGTCCATAAGTTCAGGGTGAAGGAACGAGATGGAAAAGTCCATTTGCGGACCAGTAAGGGTGTCCTCACTCTGTATCGGCTGTTGGTGGTGCAGTGTCAGTAGGTTAGTGACGGCCTGGTCCTCCTCCTGGGTGAGCTGGACGATCACTTGGTTTGGCTGCACTTGAGGGTGGAGGGTGTTTATTTTCAAGGTGAGGCTGCCCAGATCCCTAGTGGGGTGTGGTGCAGATCTGAATGGGTCAGGACGGGTTGGTGGAGCCAGGCAGGCGGACATAACCGGTGGAGGAGTGTTGAGCTGGAAACAGTCGAAAGCCTAGTGGAGAAAAATGAGGGTGGAGAAGTTTTACTGGAGAAATACAACAAAAGCGATATATCTCCATCATCTCTTGTGACCACTAGAAGTGTGTGGTGGTGTATAGCAATGTTCTTAGGAAAATACATATTTACTAAATGATTAAAGTTTTTAACCGACTAATGTTTCTGATGCTGATTAGCAAGGGTAGCAGTGTTTAATCAACAAGTCAACTGATCATGTACATCCATAGAAAACACTGGCAGTCTATGGGATCTGATCTATAGGGGCTCGGTTGTGACCCCAGTATGTGATTTAGGCTAATAGTATGGACTTGTGCAGCGTTACACATCTGTTAATTTCTAAACAACTAACATGACATACATTCAAACAACTCTAGTTTGCAATATTTACTTTTACAGAAATACATTTTTTGTTTTCTTGCCATCCTCGCCATCTGTTTTATGCTCTTTCCTTTTCTGTGCTGCTCTCCAATTATTTTGTGAATCCCTTTACAATATACAAACATCTCAGGTCTTTGATAGTTTGCCCTGAAATTTAAAGGCTATAAAGCTGATTCTATGTCTCACTGTCAGAACACATTGCCCCTTTTTTTGCCTTTGGTCTCAATTTCCTTCCAGCCCCCTGGTCTCAATTTCCTTCCAGCCCCCTGGTCAGGGTCTTAGCTCTGTCTGACAGCACTGAGCCGATCTTATTAAATGTCCTCTTCTGTCTGAGCCCCTCTATAAGCTCTACCCTCTACACACACCACCACCACCACCACCCAAAGGTCACAGAGGACAACATCAGGACCCCCCTCGTCACCTCAACCTGAGCACAATACATTCTCACAGTCTAAATAAATGTTTGATTAAAAAAAATTACAGTATCCCTTACCATAAAATGATGTTCACTCTCACTGCACAGAGAGCACCACATGCTATTGTATTTTATATCACATCTGATTACAGTGTGCTGTAGCCACTGTTGCAGTTAGTAGGAGTGCAGTGCATCAGTCCAGTCATGGTTTCATCATTAAATACCATGACCTACCTCAGCCAGTGACATGAGCCACCTAGTGGCTTGGGGGGATATTACATTTAACACAAATCAAACATATGGCTCCAACAGTACTGAAAGTCTTAAGGTAACAATGCAATGTTCTGCTGAGAAACCTTTGGTCCTGGCATTCATGTGGATGCCACTTGACACGCTCCACTCAGACCAAGGACACCCCCGAGCAACGGCACTCCACAATGGCAGTGGCCCCCTCCACAGCAGGACAATGCCCAATGCCTCACTACGAAAGCTGTTCAGGAATGACCCAAGGAACGTGACAAAGAGCTCAAGACATCGACCTGGCCTCAGGCCTGAACTCCTTGGTTCAGACTTGGCTCTGACTTGTCGAGACATGGACACAGGACCTCTGGGGGGTGTCCTGTGGTGTCTGGCATCAGGGCGTTGGCAGAGAATCCTTTGAGTCTGGGCAATTTGGAGGCCAGTTCAACACCTTGAGCTCTTTGTCACATTCCTTGGGTCATTCCTGAACAGTTTTTGGGGTGTGGCACGGTGCATTGTCCTGCTGGGGGGCCATCGCCATCAGAGAGTGTCATTGCCATGAGGAGGGATACTTGGTCTGCAACAGTGTTCGGGTGGGTGGAGCGCATCAAGCGGCATCTACATGAATGCCAGGGCCAAAGGTTTCCCAGCAGAACAGTGCAATGGAACAAAAATAATCGATGTATTCACTTCATCTGTAAGTGGTTTTAATGTTTTGGCGAAGAGGCCCCACCATATGATATTAACATGATACTTATGGCATGATACAATATTATTGGGATTTTAAATGTGTTGGAATATGCTGAGTATTGGGATAAAATATATTGCAATGTATTGTGATTTATTACTTTTTCCTCATTTGCTAATTTATATCCTTCATATTCAATTTGTGTATGGAAATTAATAATTTATGTCATAAAAAAATCGATACTTGGCATCTGTGCCTCATATTGCCACACAAAAACACTGTATTGATTTTCCCCCCACACCTAGTATATGTATATTTAACAATTTTAAAAGCTTAATTGCATTTTGTCCTTGAAATCCACCCTGAATCCACCCTTTTCTGCTGGGATCAGAGTAATCCCCATTTTTGGATCAAAGGTATGCAAGATGCAAGAAGTAATTTTTACTTCTTTTTTCCTCTATCTCTGTGTATAATATTGGTGATTGTAACACAAATTGATGTTTGATATTTACGCCTTTCCACTGCACGAGGGTATGGCTTCTCTTTGTTACAAAACTGTGCCTGATGAAGGTGTAGTCACGGAAACACTGCAGCATTAAAATCATTATTTTTGCAAGTTGGACAGTGTGCAGAGGGTTTTCTCTACAAGTCAGATCAAAGGTGTTCCAATCCTACGGAAAACTTTTAACAACACATGCTGAATATTTGATCCAGATCAAAACCAAAACTGGATTACATGATGTAATCCGATTTCAGAATCCTTTTTTACTGTAAAGATCTGATCCAATCTGATCACATTACTTCAGAACAACTGGGTTCTGGACCTTTTCACCTGTATTCCTAATTTTTGCATTAGTTAGTCATTAGTACTGTAGTTCATCCAGTCTTGATTCCCTTTGGATGCATGGTGCTGAAAATGTCATTTAACTATTGTATTTTCAAAACTGTATCACATTATCTATCTCTACAACACTCAGCTTTATGAATGTGTGTGTTTATGCTGTCTTTAAGAACTAACTCCCAAGGTTATTGAAGGTATGAATGAGGGTATCCATGGCAACAGTTCACTTACCCTCAGCTCACTGACTATGTTGGGGATCCTGATCCCAGAGACCATGGTGGGATCAGTGTAGAAGAACTCTGCTGGGATGTTGGGATGGACTGGGGAAGAGAGGAGAGGATGGGCGCTCAGCTGAAACTTTAAAAACAGACATGTGGGTAAAAACTGACTCACCTGTTTGGTTCGTAAAATCCGTGTGATGGTGTGCAAAGGCTGCAGCCATGTACTGAGGCATGAAGGAGGGGTGGTGCAGGGTCCTGTTGGAGTAAGGAGGCAGGGTGGGCTGCCTGGACCTCTGCTGGAGGAGAAACACGGGGCCATGTTTGTGTCGTCACAGTAAATTTTGGGCTGAATTAGACAGAAAAGTTGAGACGAATTACACAGAAAACTCACGGCGCATTGTCCTTCACTGTAGCTCATGGTTGACGTGTTTAATTAAGCAGCTTGAGGAGAGTCAACTAACTGGCAAAGTAGCGACCTCAGATGTTGTCAGGAGAAAGTCCAGAATAAACTGTCACGTCCATTAGCAGCTAACTGGTAGCAGCTAGCGCCCCCTGCTGGTTGGATTAAGAGACCCCGTTTATCTACCTGTTCACCATTATCAAACTAATAAAGATATTTGAATTTTTCCCTTACACAAAAGTTTGTTTGTTTGTTTCTCACAGGTTTAAGTTAGAGAGCTAAGATTTTTAACTCACTCAGCAGATACAATCTACAAAAAGGATTAGGGCCATGTCAAAGAACAAAAAATCTTAGACACAACAACCTCCAGGGGATAATTTTTCTGGTGACCCACTGGCAGAAATTAATGAATACAATAAACAGTTTCCGGGTGGTAACACCTTATGTGACATTGTAACTGTAATTGTATGACTTGAAATCCTGTTGGCAGTTTTCAGTATTATTTTGGTCCTGCTAAAACTATATTACTGTCACCCGCAACACTGTTCACCCTTCGTCAATTTTTAGACAATGTTACCCGACTTTCCAGTGATAATCTGTGGCCTTTTTCCTCCAAAGATTACAAATTTAATCTTATATTTCAACTTTATTCTCATAGATTTACGACTTTATTCCTGTAGATTTACAACTTTAATCCCATAGATTTACAACTTTGATTCCGTAGATTCACGACTTTAATCCCGTAGATTAACTACTTTAATCTTGTAGATCTATTACTTAATTCTTGTAGATTTCCGACTTTAATCCCGTAGATTAACTACTTTAATCCCGTAGATTAACTACTTTAATCTTGTAGATCTATTACTTAATTCTTGTAGATTTACGACTTTAATCCTGTAGATTAACTACTTTAATCTTGTAGATCTATTACTTAATTCTTGTAGATTTACGACTTTAATCCTGTAGATTAACTACTTTAATCTTGTAGATTAACTAGCCTATTTTAATCTTGTAGATTAACTACTTTAATCTTGTAGATCTATTACTTAAATTCTTGTAGACTTACGACTTTAATCTTGTAGATTTAAGACTTTATTCTCAGTTTTACAACTTTATTCCCATAGATTTGAATTTATTCTCAAAATCTAAATTTTTGTCTCTTTAAAAATTTGGTCGCAAGTTTGTTAAAATCCTTGTTAGCACTTGTTTTCCAAGACAACCCATCCACCTGGCAGGTGTAGCATATCAAGATGCTGATTGAACAGCATCATTACTACACAGGTGTGCCTTGGGCTGGTCACAATTAAAGTAGTTTGATCAATCATAATGCCACAGATGTCCCAAGTTTCGAAAGAGCGTGCCATTGGCATTGCTGACTGCAGGAATGTCTACCAAAGCTCTTGCCCATGAACTACCATAAGTCGTCTCTAATGTTGTTTCCATTAATTTGGTAGTACATCCAACCAGCCTCACAGCAGCAGACCCCGTGTAACCACATCAGCCCAGGACCTCCACATCCAGCATCTTTGCCTGCAAGATTGTCTGACACCGGCCATCTAAACAGCTGATGCAACAATTATTTGTGCAACTTAGATTTTCTGAACAAATAGTCAGAAACAGTCCATCTGCACACTCGTTGCCCTCACCAAGGTTGTGCCCTAACAGCAGTTAGTCATTGTAAACGACTTGTGAGGTTGTATGACCAATGGGGGTTTTTCCATGGAATACATTTTGACTTGTCACAGTAGAAAAATCACAGGTGTAAATATTACTTACACTAATTAATGATGGTTGAATTTCATTTAACCGCTTTGATGTCTGGTTCCTGGTGTTGTGCCTGTTGGCTCACTATCACTCACTGAAACACTTGAGATGAGCCACTGTTAGTGTCATCAGCAATACCTGTGCTTATCCTGTGAAGTCAAAATTCTTGCTATGAAAAAAAGGCCTTTTCCTCAAATGCTGCAATTGGTAGGTGGAGCCAGTTTTAAATTGTTTTTGCCTGATGTTGCTTTTGTTTGCATATCGACCCTTTGTCGCGTTTAATTCTCTTGATTATAGGACTACTGCATTTGCTTATTAAAGTGACATTCCTTATACCCAAGAGGTTTCTCATCTTACCTGCACAACTTGTATAGTTCTGTTGCTTTTGTGCAAATAAACCTTAGAACTACTTAACACTGTTGTGTCGTTTAAAATCTTGCCTGTGAGGTAATTGGGTACTATAGCTGCGTGATACTAAGGTACTTTTTCCTCTGAAATATAGCAGAGTATGGGTACTAGAGTTACATAAAAGTACAGGTTTACTGGTGAAAACTGCAGTTTTGGTGCGGTAACAGGTCTATCCTCATTACCACCTTTAATATGTACAAATCTTAAGTTGCTTTCACCCACATCCAACCCTAGCAGACAGTTTGTCTCAAAGTGTTAAACTTCCTGTGTCTGCATCATTTGTCTGTAGCAGGTGTTCGACAAGTTTGTATAAAAACACAAATACAGCACTCTAAGAACAACAACTTTATTAAATTCCAAATTTTCCATTTAAAATATTAGACTTCCTTCAAATTTGGCTAGAATTTGCTTTAGTCTGTGAGGATCCTTTGGCTCCTGTGAAGAGAGTTCAGAACATTTAGTGTCACTTTAGCTCTTAATTTGATTTTCAAATGTCAGTCTCACCTTTTCTCATGCTACTGAAGAGATTTCTGAACCTAGAAACTTTGATGTAGCGGGCAGGGGGGTGGATGGCAGGTAGTCTAGCTGGCCTGCTGGTAGTAGAAGGTGTAGTTTTCAGTGGTGCAGAGGGCCTGATGGCGGGAATCAGCAGCCCTGCAGTGCAGAAAGAGGAGAAATGCTCAAATTGTGATACGAGTGAGCAATAACCGGTCATCTCCAGCAGGCGATGAAACTACTCTACCTGCTGTGGGCTTTGTAGTGTGGATGATGCTGCCAACACCATCTGTGTCAGACTCAAACCTGTACACTGAGAAGAGGCGATGGAGGCCAGCCAGAGGATATGTGCACTGTATTATCACCCTGTAAAACAAGAGGACAGGTTATTTGCCGCTACCTCAGCTATCTCATGCTAAACAGCATCTCTTTGACAATTTAGCATTTAACATACCTCTCAGTGGCATTATCAGAAGCTCCCTTGTTCATATTGAGGGATTTCCTGCTGTAGACAATCTCGTTATGATAGGTCACATTTTCCTTGTTGAGCTGTACGTGAAACATGCAAATAGTGAATATTCGTGACATTCAGATTGGATAGTTTTTAGATTTGTAGCAGCAGTACCATGACGATGGATCCACAGCCGTTGAGTGGAAAAGAGAAGAGAGCCCTGGTGCCGTCCGTCTCTTTGGGTCCACAGTATTTGTCTCGGAGGTTGGCTCTCGCAGGAACTCCTCCACTTGGGATGGCCAGAGACAAGTCAGCCGCCACAGTCATCTTCCCGTCAGTCGAACACACTAAAGAAAGATGCGTTTAATTGCGTCAGCTTTATACAGAAATCACAACTTCTTAGAGTTAGGATAGGATGTTCTTACTAATGAATTCAGTATTGGAGAACGGGCAAGTCTTGACAGTTGAACCCTGAACCTCTGATGTTTCATGATCCCGCATGAGGATCTCGAAGGTGCCGGAGAAACCCTTCAAACTCATGTCCTATAAAAACACATGCAGCTCAGCCATTGATCATCATGTTCAAAACTCAACACAAGAGTCGATGCTTCCACCAAGTCATTCCTCATCTCACCTTGTACTCGTAGCCATGAGTGAAGAGCGGCACGTCGAGCAGCAGACTCTGGCTGTCGTTGCTCATGATGTAGCCATGCTGGGCTGCCAGCTCTGATGTCAGCGGGTCTGAGTCGATACTGATCACCCACAGGTAGTCGAAAGGCCGGTGGTCCAGTCTGAAGCTGATGCCAGACTCAGAACAGACAGCGTCAAAAGCTGGAGGAGCTGTTAAAGACAAGACAAAGGGTTACAATACAACAGCAATGACAACTATCTAACTTTATCAAATTTAGTAGACTTACAGATGTTGGCGAACAATGCCACGATAGATGTCGGGTGGTAGTAAGACTCGTTGTCAGGCAGAACTGTCAGCGTGTAGTTGATGTCCAGCTTATACTGAAGAACTGCATCTTCTCTAGAGAACTAGGAGACAAAAACATGACTGAGATCAGACAGTTGCAAGGCTCAGAAGTCAACCTACTTTGAAAAGACCATTTACCTTCTCTTCAACGACAGGGTCATCAAAAGGCACCTTCAGAGTGTAGCCATGAGTGCTGTTGGGATGAACAACCTTTGTGATGGTGTGGCTGCTTGTGTTTGTAAGTGGAACTGTGAATTCTTGTCCATTCAAATTAACAGAAGCCAACTCAACATCTTCAGGGACATCTCCAAGGTAGACCACGAAGGTGTGCTCCTCAAGAACTGTTCCTGGAACAAGAGGATATTCAGATGATTGCTGCATCAAACTGATGATTGAGTTTGTCATTAGACTTACTGTTTTCAGTGAAAACAGGGCGTGGTAGCAGAGGAGTAGCCAGCGTCCTGTGAAATCGGAGCCTGGTCTCTACTTGATCCTCATCCACTGAGATTTGCTCCAAGTTGAGATGATAGATGTAGAATTCGTAGAGGTCGCCAGACACCAAGCTCTGCAACAGATGCATGCAAGTATTCCTTCAAACTACAAGTAAAACACTAATTCAGATATTAAGAGTTAGTTTCTTCTATTGCATGCTCTGATGAGCAATTTTGTGATTTAGGCTACCAAGCCCCGTGTGAATCTACTTTAAGTTTGTGCTTGCTCACATTCCTGTATCCTCCATCAGCATTATAGGGGATGCTGATCTGGACTGTGGCATTGTGCTTCTCCACAATGTAGCCTCTCTCCTCTGCAACTGGCTGCCCCACAAGTTCACCATTGAGGCCAAGGTTGAGCTGTGTGGCGCCTGGAGTCGCGGACGGCACATCTGGAGTTTCCCACATCATGTAGCCTCTGTCATCATATGACCCTTCATCTGTGGACATTACAAACAGTCTTATAGCTTTAACTAGGGTCTTTCAAAAAAAAAAAAAAAAAAGGGAAAAAGATAAGCCACAGAGTAAGGAAAAATACTGACGCATGGAGCAAGCAGCCTCCAGGTCGACCATGAGGACGATCCAGCTTTGTCTGGAGAACAGCGTTGCATGGACCACCTCTACTGGAACACCATTCACCTGGAGAGAGACTCAGTTAAAATCTGCCTTGGACTAGGTGCTTTGCAAAACATATGTTTAGCATCGGTGGTTTACCTCAGTGCTGAATGAGTCAGGTTGTCCATATGGTGCACGAAATACCAGCCTTCCATCAGTCAAGTCAAATGCATAACCCTGCTTTCTAGCGTCAGAGATGTTCATGGGCGGCAGCTGCTCCTCATTTCTCTGAAACATCACCTGCCAGTCTGAAGTGGTGGAGCTATGTGCCTTGAAAGAGATTTAAGGTGTTGAAGTGGCACTTGACTGAGAAATTCTAAAAAAAAAAAAAAAAAAAAATTTAAACATACAGGTTTGAGGGCATTCCAGTCATCTTTCTTTGTTCCAGAGGAACAGGTGAGTTCACTCCTCACAGACACCTGGGAGAAAAACAAAACAGTCAACATCTGAAACTACTCCAGAAATCCCAAGAAAAATCTGAGATGTAAACCAGCTTACTTCCATGTAATTGGTCTCACAGTTAACCTCTCTGGGAGACCAGGGGAGAGAGGGAGAACAGGTCTTGTTCATGGAATAGGGGACCTCCTTTCCTTCATGAGTCGCAATCAGGTTGAAGTTAAAAGTGAACTCTTCGTCATTCTGAAAGACCAAGTAGAAAATTATAGGATGCCACACCTAACCTGTACAGTAAGAGTCAAACACTGTTTTATATGCAACTTATACACACTGTGTTGTCAGTGTGACAGCTGAAGTAAGAGGCTCGGAGCTCCACATGGCCGGCTAGAGGGAGAACACTGACAGTGTAGCCACACTGAGCTGCATACTGCTCAGTGATGGCGTGCACGCCTGTCCCATCTGGAAGAGAAATGTTAGATCAGTAATGCAGCTCACCATTCACTCCAATCCTGTTATTGAAAAGTAGATAAGAGATCTCATTGATTTGTGCAGTGGTTCCCAGTCTTTTCCTTAAGGGATCCCTTGTCTATCATTGCGTAATACCCCTGACTACATGACATATCTTTTAAGGATATTTCATATTCTATTCAATGCATAACAGCAGAGAACTACTGATAAACTGTACACTTAACTAAATAGTGAACACAATAACTGCAGGAAAATTGTGTAAAATGAGCGATTTGAATTAATTTTGAGCTGATTATTTCTTGTAAATATTACACAAGAGATGAGTTCCTGATATTTTATTTGAATTCTGTCTATACTGTTTTGTTTCTTTTTGAGAGTTTTTCATAGTTTCTTTTCCCTGGTGTTTGGCCATTTTTAAAAGGGCTCTTCGGTTGTTTTAACAGACAGAAATGGCATAAATCTCAAGCATTTTGTACAACTGAATATATTTTTAAAGAAACATTTTCTTATATCCCTTTAAATCAAGATGGCAAACATGTTTGCCTAGCCCTGTTTTAGGTAGTGATGGCTGAGCATGACAAAGCTGCCTGGCACTTACCAACAGCCTCAAAGCGAGGTTCCTCTCCAGTGAAGGAGAGATCAACAGCTGCCATGAAGTGGCGATCATGACACTCTATATGAATGACTCCTGTGTGCACAAACAAGTTAGAGTTCAAATATGGACATCCTATTAATTATTGTAGGTCAGTGAGCCAATATTTTAGTTACCATCAGGAATGCCAGCACATGTTGCAGCTGACCACACAGACAGGAGTAAAGCAACACTGTAGGACAAAAGCATATGTCTCTT